TAGTAGTAGTAGTAATAGTAGTGGCAGTAGCAGCAGGAGTAGTAGTAGTAGTAGTAGTAGCTGTTGTAGTAGTAGTAGTAGTAGTAGTAGTAGTAGTAGTAGTAGAAGTAGTAGTAGTAGTAGTAGTAATAGTAGTATTAATAGTAGTATTAATATGATTAGTAAGTGTAGTAGTAATGGTAATACAAGTAGTACGATTAATATCAACATTTCTGTTATTATGCATATACGTATTGCTGAAATTATTCGTCGTGGTAATACTACTATTAGTATTAGTGGTTTTTAATAGTATCAGTCGTCTTCTTATTATTTCTCTTCTCATTTTTATAAGTATTAGAGTTCGTCTCTTCTTCTTCGCATTATTATTATCATTATGATCATTAGTAGTATTACTAGTTCGTACTATTATTAGCATTCGTCTTATTAGTACGATTCTTCTTATCAGTATACATATTATTGCTGTGCTTGTTGGCATGATGAGTTGTAGTATCATTGCGATTCTTGATGATATCATTAGTAGTCTTATTATTCGTCTTATTACTGCTCTTGGTCGTAGCATGATTGATATTATTATCATTCGTCTGCTTATTATTCCTCCTCCTCATCATCATCATCAGCATCATCCTCTTCATCTTCGTCGTAGTATTATTCGCACGCTCATATACATGGTTGTCAGCGTTATTCGTCTTAACATTAGTTGGTGTCGTATTCTTCGTACTAGTATTAGCATTCTTAAGTGTAATATTATTCGTCGTCGTATTAGAACCCGTCGTCTTATCATCATTCGTATTCTTATGAGTAGTAATAGTAGTATTATTATTATCCTCCTCCTCCTCCTCCTCCTCCTCTTCCTCCTCCTCCTCCCTCCTCCCTCCTCCCTCCTCCCTCCTCCTCCCTCCCTCCTCCTCCCCCTCCCTCCTCCCTCCTCCCTCCTCCTTCCTGCCTCCTGCCTCCTGCTCCTCCGCCTGCCTCCTGCCCCCTGCCTCCTGCCTCCGCATTCTCCTCCTCCTCCACCTCCTTCCCCTCCTCCCTCCCTCCTTGCTCCTCCTCTCCCTCCTCCCTCCTCCCTCCTCCCTCCTCCGTCCTGCCTCCTGCCTCCTGCTCCTGCCTCCTCCCTCCTCCCTCCTCCCTCCTCCCTCCTCCCTCCCCCCTCCTCCTCCTTTCCCCCCTCCTCCTTGCTCCCTCCTCCCTCCTCCCTCCGCCCTCCTCCTCATCCTCATACTCCTCCTCATCCTCCTTCTTATGATCCTTAGTCTTCGTATTACTCTTATTAATATTACTATTACTATTAGTATTAGTAATATTATTACTAGTATTATTACTATTATTATTAGTATTATTATACTATTATTATTATTATTAGTATTATTATTAGTATTATTATTAATAGTAGTAGTATTATTATTACTATTACTATTATTAATATTATTATTATTATTATTATTAGTATAATTATTAATAGTATTATTAACAATACTATTATTAGCATTATTATTATTATTAGCATCATCATCGTCATTATTATTATAGTTGGTATTCGTATTAGTATGAGTATTATTATTAATATTAATATTATTGTTATTGCCATCATCATCAGCATCAGTACCATCATTATTAGTATTAGTATTAGTATTCGTATTATTAGTATTAGTATTATGAATAGTAATAGTATTATTATTAGCATCATCATCATCATCATTATTATTATTAGTAAGATTAGTATTAGTATTATTATGGTTAGTATTATTGTTATTAATATCATTCGTATTCTTGGTATTACCAGTATTAATATTACCATTAGCAGTAATAGTATGATGATTCTTCTTATTATTAATATCACTAATAGTATTACTTATATAACTAATATTGTAAGCATTGCTTATTGTTAGTACTAGTATCATTAATAGTATTAACACTAGTACTAGTAGTATTAGTCGCATCCGTAGTATTAGTATTATTAGTACTATTAGTAGTAGTAGCATGATTGTTGTTATTGTTAAAATTAGTAATATTATTATTAATCGTGTTCGTCTCCTTAATAGTCTAAATATGATTAGTAGTATCATGCTTAGTTCTGTTATTATTAATAGTATACGTATTATTCGTCTTAGTATGCGCATTCTTATTCTTATTATCAGTACTATTCGTACGATTAGTAGTAGCATGATGGTTAGTGTTCGTATTAGTATGATTCGCAGTAGTAGTAGTAGCAGCAGTAGTAGTAGTAGTGGTGGTAGTAGTAGCAGTGTTAGTAGTATTAGTACTGTTATCATTATTATCATTAGTATTACGATTATTATTCGTATGTTTCATCTGATTCGTCTTCTTCGTCTTCTTCTTCTTCGTCTTCCTCCTCCTCCTCCTGTTCCTCCTCCTCCTCCTCCTCCTCCCCCTCCCTCCCTCCCTCCCCCCCTCCCGCCCTCCCTCCCTCCCCTCCCCCCCTCACTCCCTCCCTCCCGCCCGCCCTCCCTCCTCCCGCCCTCCCGCCCGCCCTCCCGCCCCCGCCCGCCCTCCCCCGCCCGCCCGCCCGCCCTCCCTTCCGTCCCTCCCTCCTACCTCCTCCCTCCCCTCTTCTCCCCTCCCCCCCTCCCCCCTCTCTCCCTCCCTCCCTCCCTCCTCCCTCCCTCCTCCCTCCCTCCCCTCCTCCCTCCCCTCTCCCTCCTCCCTCCGCTCCTCCCTCCTACCTCCTCTCCCTCCTCCCTCCTCTCTCCCTCCTCCCTCCTCTCCTCCTCTCCTCCTCCTCCCTCCTCCCCTCCTCCTCTCCTCCCTCCTCCCTCCTCCCTCCTCCTCCTCCTCCTCCTCCTCCTCCTCCCCCTCCTCCTCCTCCTCCTCCTCCGAGCCTCCTCCTCCTCCTCCTCCTCCTCCTCCTCCTCTCCTCCTCCTCCTCCTCCTCCTCCTCCTCCTCCTCCTCCCCCCCTCCTCCTCCTCCTCCTCCTCCTCCTCCTCCTCCTCCTCCTCCTCCTCCTCCTCCTCCTCCTCCTCCTTCTCCCCCCCCCGACGGTCCATAGCGGTGACGCCTGATCTCGGTGAGGAATTCGACTTCGAGCAGGTGCGGCAGGAAACGTCGCAGCACGCGGACCAGGACAGCAAGGGAAACACAAGGCGCAAAGGCAGTAGGCTCGGGCCGCACAAATGGGCCATCTGGTGCCGAAGACGTCATCTTGGAGAGCGAGAAGGGCTTGCCGGTGAAACGCGCGTCCCGGATTAAGAGGCCAAGTGGGAGCACTATGGTGAGAAGGGCAGCGACGCGAAGTCTGAGCAGACGGATGTCGACATGCCTGAGCTGTTCGGTGGCCAGCTGGACGGAGGTGTTGGCGAGGCTGCCCCTGAGCCCGAGTCGCCCATGCAAGAAGCATAAGAGCTCATGGTGTGTTTCGGCAGGTATCGTAGTGTTGCCATGCGGAAGGCTGCTGCCGATTGCCTCGATGAGCTCCAGCAGGAGGCCCTGGGCGTCGCGCGTGAGACAAGGCTGCCCGCTGGACCTGTCTTGGCTCAAGTCATTATCCTCGCAGACGCAGGCACCGATGCAGGTCGGGGACCAGGCTTTCAGAGCTGCAGGTCGGGGAAAAAAGTACCGCCTGCGCACGTCGCTGGGTTCGCCATCGTGACGTGGCGAAAGAGCTGGCGCTCAGGGCCGGGTGGCTTTGAACCGACGGCCGCGCAGCTCGGCAGAAAGTCGGACTCGGGAGGGTCGCGGCGGAATCGCACTCAATCGTTCTCCTCTCTCTCTGTTTCTCTCTCTCTCTCTCTCTCTCTTCCTCCTCTATGAGATGCCTCCCGAATGGAGTCCGAGTAGATGGGGTCGGAGGATCGCGCCGCGTCGCCGATGCATCGGCGATGCATCGGGAACGTCGGCGACGCACCGGCGACGTCGGCATGAAGAAGAGTCGGGAACCACATTGATCATCGAGCTGCATCGCCGATGCATCGGCCATGCGGCACGATTCTCCGACCCCATCTTGAAGTCGGGCCTGTCCTCCTACAGGAGGATTTGGGGCGAAAAATGAAAAATACTCGAAAAACACCCTAGATATGCTGAAAAATAATCAAAAATAGTCCCCTGACTATTTTTTTGCAATTTTTGAATATCCCCCCTGTAGAGGGACAGGCCCGACTTAACCCCATCTACTGCAACCCCATCTGGGAGGCCTAGATTTACAGGCGCCCGATCCTCCTCCCCGCGTGCGCCCTGGGCGGAACAGAGCCGGCCGTCGCCCGGTCGACCTCTGCCTGCCTCGCCTGCGCATCGGACGGGCGGCCGCTCCGGACTTCGATGCGCGTCCGCGCCGCGCCGGCCTCCTCGCGGCCTCTCCGCCACGACTCGACGAGCGCGCTCCACTACTCGCAGAGTAGCTACTCGCAAATGGCCTGGACCCCCCGCGGGGGATCTGCGAGAAATCGCAGCAGAGCAGGTAGGTGTCTTTTTCGGACGTTTGCGAGTAGGCACTTTGCGAGTAGTGGAGCGCGCTCGGCGAGCGACGAAGAGTCCACTGCGCCAGCGCCAGGACACCGCCCGCCGCTGCGCTGAGCAGGGCGTCGCTTCCATTCCAGCGGCGGTGGGGTCCCACAGCGGCGTGCCCACCTCCTCCTCCTCCTCCTCCTCCTCCTCCTCCTCCTCCTCCTCCTGGCACGTACCCAACCTCCTCCTCCTCCTCTTCCTCCTCCTCCTCCTCCTCCTCCTCCTCCTCCTCCTCCTCCTCAGACCCCTGGCGCCACGATGTCTTCATGACGTCGACCCCAGAGGTCTCGACCCGTCCCCCAGGACCGGCCTCTCCTCCTGAGCCGTTGCCTGACGGCCCCGAGCGCCGGTGAAGGCCCCCAGAGGCCGAAACTGGCGAAAAACCTCCCGTCGCGATTTTCTCATTGCCCGATGGGGGTCTGGGTTTGGATGAAGAGAAGGAGGATGATGATGAGGAGGAGGAGGAGGACAAGGAGGAGGAGGAGGAAGAGGAGGAGGAGGAGGAGGAGTAGGAGTAGGAGTAGGAGTAGGAGTAGGAGTAGGAGGAGGAGGAGAAGGGGGAGGAGGAGGAGGAGGAGAAGCGGCAGGGCGCGAAAAGCCAGGGGTCTGCGCGGTCCTGCCCGAGCGCGCGGCGGGCGCCACGAGGGGAGGGCGGCGCCCTCCTAGCAGAGCAGTGCGGCCAGCGGCCCCTCGACAGTTCGCCAGGAGCAGGTCTGCACGACGCGTCGCGGCGGCGGCCCTGGCAGCACGCTGTGCCTTGCGAGCGGATGGCGTGTCGCTCCCCTCCGCGTGGCTGGAGGCTTGAGATAGCTCGGGTTGTGGATGCCATGACAATGGACGCTCGAACAAACCTACCATTGAATTACAAAAGTGTTTAGAAATGTGAAAACGTGTTCTAAAAATGTTTCAACATGTTTTCTAAAAAAAGAAACGTGTTTGAAATATGTTTTAGACATCTGGAAATTATTTGGCAGCATGCTTCCTCTCCATTAATCGATTCCCACGAAGCTCGGGACACTGACGCTCAGGAATGGGGACGTGGATAGCGCGTCGCGCCGAGGCGTTGTGGGCCAGAACCGGCGGAGCAACACGCAAAGCCAAAGTTCCTGACCGTATCTCCCTCAACACGGAGGCCGCGCGGGCTGTGCTGAGGCGGCTGCACACGCCGCACAGGGGACTGCTGCGCGCCTTGCAACGGCCACGGCGGCCGTCACCGTTGACGCCGCGTGAAAAACCGCCACCGTCGGCTGGCGCCCCCTCCATCTCCCCGCCCTCACTGGCGGCAGCATCAAATTC